GGTCAGGAGAGGTCTGCCACGCCATGTGGTCACCTCCAGGGCAGGCGGGAATTGAACTCATGAGGAAATGGCTTTAGCTTCTCAGTGCAGTGCTTTAACCCGCTGCGCCACCAGGGAGGGCCACAGACCTTATTTTGACCTTTTGCTAACTAACCATCTGTGAAAACTCTATGTGGTTTTGAATCATGCAGGTCCTGCTCATGATCAAGATGAAGTTATACATTATCAAAGCATGCATGTGGAAAGAAGGATCAAAGTTAGATAATGTAAAGTTTTTCGAGGAAATTTAACAACCTCTGCCCATACCAGGAAGGATATTCCTTGTGTTCAGATGATGGGTCTTTTGGGAGAACCGAAAGAGTTTGCGTAAGGTTCATTCTGGGAGGTCTGGCCGATAGTCATGTAACCTCAAAGCCTGTTTTCGGATCCTGTTTATGCGAGTGTGCTCAGTGCTCTCTGGTCATCGTGACCTTGCCGTATTCCACAGGTGCACCTGGCTGTGACTCTATTGTTTCTCCACACATCAGCACCACCCAGAGTTTTGTTCAATCACAGATGGCAGCACACATATCTGCAGTTTCTGATCTGGTGGTTCTGAGGTAGGCTCTGACAGCTTGCCTTTCTTTAAAAAAATTTACAGTAGCTGTTGCTGCTCTGGAGCTACACATGGGCAACTTTGATGAGGCAGAAGGGAGCACAGGACATGAACAACAGGAATTTGACTTTTCTTCCCAGTCTTAGGGACAGGAGGTAAAATGATGCAAGAGGGAATCAGCCCTTAGCTGATTTTAGTGTCAAAGTAAATATAAGACTGTATCCAGGTCCATTAGGATTGACTTTATTAGCCTATAAAAGGAAAACCATAATAAAATGTGACTTACAGAAGTTTATATCACTCATAATAAAGAAGTTGCACTGCAGCTAATTTCTCTCTCCATTCCCCGAAGTTTGTCAACTAGTCCAGACCTCTTTTCTTCTAAGAGTCTTCAAGGAATATTCAGGAATGTCCTAGATCATTCCTGATGAGGCTCTTCTCTGCTGTCTCTGAGAGTAATACCTCTTAGATGCCAGAGACTCGCAAGTGTGAGTGTGACTCGGTGTTGATCTTGGGGGTTGTAGACCTGGGATGCGGAGAGAACTGAGTCACAGACTTGAGTGAGGGATTGAGCTCCAGGCTTCAGTGTCACCCAGAATGGGGATGGTGGCCTCATGTTCTCAGGACCCAGGCTGCTCCTTCTGCTCAATCCTCAGATTGTCACTTCTAGTCTCAGGGTCACTTCATGGTCCAAGGCGACTTCCAGAGTTCTCGATGTCATCGGATTCAGGGGGAAGTGAAAAGAGCCTTCCTGCTTTAGGCATTTTGTTTTACGAAGGCTCACACCTGTTTGTATCTCATTGGCCAACAATAGTTGCATGGTCACCCAAGGCAGACACTTTTGTTAGGGGGAAAGGATGTCCTGAAGGAACTCTGCAGAGTTTTGTGGACTCCACCCCCTACTCCACTTTTCTGGACTCCACCCTCCTACTCCAGTTACTGAATCTACAACTACCAGCAATACCACAGAGAGAACTGTGAGGACCCAAGGGCAGAGCTAAGCAGGCATTCTGGGGCTTTTGGGAGCCATGTTAGAGGCTCTCTCTCTGGACCCCATGGCAGGTGGCTGGTCATTAGGCTCTTGATGAGCTTTCAGTGTGTTACGGAGTTCCAAGTCAGGGGAGCTGGTAGGATGTTCTAGTTAACTTGTATCTCTCTTTCCCTTGGTTGCACCTTTTCTTTTCCCTTTTGTAAATAAACCCATTGTTGACCCTTTTTGTATGTTCCTGCAATACAATTGTATGCAGGTGAGGACCCACAGATAGGCAACCCAGTTCACATTGGATTTCCCTGTAACAATTATACACACCCTAGTGAAACTGGAAGCAGAGAAGAGACACTGCTAGCAAATAGTAGTCCATGTCATAGTGGGTGCAGAGCTTGGTGGGTGCAAACGGTGGTCACTGAGCTCATCCAACTTGTGAAAATACAGAGGCCTGAAAAGCACGTTTATGTACTATTCTACTAGAGTGGGGGAAAGTTAGGGAACCATTTCCAACCTGGGTCAAAGAATGACGGCAGGGTCTTCAGTCAGAATTTAGGGCACTTTTCCCCCACCCTCTCGAACCTCGTTTGAGTGGTGGTGAACACATGTCTGCATCACTTCCGGTTACTTCTCTCTAGTGACAGTCTTCCCTGAGAGAATTTTTTCTCCCTTGTGGTTTCTACATTCTTTAATTTCCTTTTCATCTGGGGATCATAGGAGTAGTGATGTAGTTATTAAGTTCACTTCTTTTCCAGTCTTTTTATTTCTGTCACTTGCCCACAAGTGAACCCAATGTAGGAGCTACCCAACTTCATTAGATGAGCTCTAGCGG